ACGTTCCTGTCATCTCCCTCCCTGCATGTTAGCGTTCCCTTCGTGTTTACCCACTTCTGCTTTACTTTCTCAGTCTTTCGCCACGTTGAGACTTTACCTAATCAAATATTATGGAAGTTAGAACCATGAAATAACAGGTGGTAGCTTCCTGCCTTTACATTCCCTTTCAAATAAAGCACAGAGATGGCAAACACTGGCTACTATAAAAGGCTTTTCTTAAGAGCACCAGAAACATCTAAGCTTTGAGTTGTTTAAAAAGTACCCCAGGGAGAGAGCAATATCCAGAGACTAACTGAGAAACTGAAATATTGGCACTTGATAGCAATAAGAGCTTGAAGAACGGAGTAAAGAAACTTTGTCTCATCAAATGATTCTTTCACACTCTGACTACAATCTTCTGTGCAGCCTGTTATTGCTAACATTGCTAACGCTTCCCAGACAGACAGACTTCTTGTCCCTCCAGCAGTGATACCCGCCCTTCTTACTACACTATCCACAGTACTGCTTGGTCTTTAGAGACAGATGGGAATAGCAAGCCAATAAACTCCACAAACCAAGGGAAGAGTCACTGCTTCCTTACCATCACAAGTAAGGAACTTGACTGTATACGTTATTGAGTGAAAGATGCTCCTGATATTATGAGATCTTTAAAATCTAGCGTGCATCTTTAAAGGTTCAGGTCTTCAAACTTGCATGGGAATTTCTCGCCCCTGTAATAGCTGCCATTTTTTATTACAACTGCTTATTAGGAAGCTGAAGATAACTGTATCCATTACATTATGCCCACTCACTTGTATAAAAGCATGTGCAACACTCAAAAGTGATGGAGATCCTATCTCAGGCACTAGAAGTTACTATTTCTAGTTCATCTGTGGACAGAGTCTCAATGTCTACAGCAATGAATAACACAGGAAAACTTACAGATTTGATGGCAACTTGTAACATCACAATCTGTATCTTCTGACTTTGGCAAACCTCTTTGTCTTCCCAGACACTGAGAAATTAATGAGTTGTCAACTACATATCACATTCTCAGCAGCAGAAATAGTAAAACGGTTTTTATGTAATATGAATAGAATGTCACTGAACAACTGTTTAGACTGTGAAAAACTGATCTGCATTCAGAAAAAGAAAATCTAAATAAAGCACTCAAAACATATCATCTATGTGATCTATTAATTAAATCACTCTGATGCAAAGTCTCACTAATGTGAAATTCAGCTTGCAAGGTTGTGCTGAAAAATGAGTACAAAAATTTAAGTTTACCAAGTCTGAAAATTAAATTTGCATTGTATTTACAATCTGTCATTGCTAAAACAAAAGTTACATTATGATGATAAATGTTTATGACCACAAATCCTGTAACTTCAAATGTTGACTTTACTACTTCCTGAATTTCTTAATTCTTTAATTCCTTTCATATCGAAAAAGACTAATTAATTCAAAGAACCATAATAACTAATTACTGGTTAAATAAATTTAAAAGGAAAATGTCTGTCCCTGGAGAGATCATTGCTCATTTTAATTAAAATTACCATCTTGTGATGTAATGTAAATAAAGGTTATCGTATCCTTCTGCTCCAACAGCATATTAACTTTTCTAACCACCTCTAGAGATAAATCAAGGTTTACATTGCCAAGGAAATTATTTGCGGCGTATGAGCTAATTTTAGTGAACTAGGTTTTTTATTCATTTTAATGTATAATCCGCATTATTATTTTATGAAGGAATTCTGAAACACTCTATATGTAAAATAGTAGTGGACACAAATTTTTATCTTAGGAGAGTGGACAATGACATCTATGCTGTAGCTATCAAAAAAAAGTTTAACTTCATAAGCATCTGCAGTCAAAGAAGAGAGTGATCTCTTCCAACCTGATGTTTTATTTGAACACAGAAATGAACACAGGAAAAAGTACCATTTTTAGGAGCCACTCCTCCAGCAACTGATGCCGTCGGTTACATAGCCTTATAGGAGGAATAGTGCATACTATCAATATGTAGTTAAACAAACAGAAAATTCTCACTCTCATTATTAGCATAGCAGCCAGGTTCTTCATGGACATTTATAGTACTAAACAGACATACATGGAATTTTATTGACCTAATTGAAAGTATGTATATGCCATGTATATCTCAGTACCTACCTAATACAAAAGTAGGCTTCTGCCAGAGACAGCGTGGCTGAAGTTGCGTTTCCTCTGTATTTTTACAGCAAAATACCTAACGCAGATCACCTAACGCACTATCTCATTCTAGAAAATCTTTCTGAGGACAACACATTGCAGTCTTCATCTCAAGTCAAGGCTAATAGCACTGGGAATAGAAAGATAAATTCACTAAGCTAAGAACTATCTTGGTCCTCTCTCCATTTGGATTTTGTGAATATGCATCTGACTTAAATCATGCTGCTGCAAAACCATACCTTTGGGGGCAATGAAATCATAGTAAAAATATGGACTTTACTGTTGAAACTGTTGTTTTAACAGTTTAAAGAGTTATGTAAGAAGTTGCATTGTTATTTCTAGCTCAGATATTGCAAATCACTATAATATATGAGTGAACAGTTTTAATAAAAATGCCTATTAAGACAGTAAAAAGCATTCTGACATTTCAAGGCATGAAAAAAACAGGGAAGAAGAGCTACAGTGACCAGCTTTGGCAATCCTGGCACAAATTAAATTACTGTGTCAACAGAACCCAAGTCAATGGTACGCTTAGCGCAAGCTGCATGCTCGTATTTTGTCAATACACAGCTCTGGCCCACAACTTGAACCAGATAAGCTTGTTATGCAAATGCTGTTAGCCATCAGGAAGGAGGTAGATAATGAAATTACTCTAAGGCTAACCGCTCATCACACGGGTGACAAACATCAGGCAGGGTCCTAACATATGGATAAAAGGTAGTATGGAATTTATACAATTACTGCTTTTAATTTATCATAACTAAGCTGTCACAAGGCAGACATCAACAAATGCATAATTAATGCATATAAATGAGCCAATTATCAGTAACGGCTAAAAGGTTTGCAGTTGTATGATCCAACGTTTCATTATTTACTTTTTTCTCTGGAAAACTCACTAATGTTAATTCAAACCTCCATATAAATATTTCATAACCTTAGCACCATAACTTTACTAACACATGCACAAGAACAGAGCAATGTCACATAGCATTCTATTCCAGTGTTCTCTTACAGGTAGCTACAAAACTGGCAGATTTATTACAATTGTTGCATTTCTTTGTGTTAAGAGACTGCCTATAAGTATACGCCTTACTTCTTCGCATATGTTGCCGTATAAACGAAAAACAAGATTTGAGAACCCGCAGATGTTGCTGGCGAAAGGAAGTAGTTAAGTAAAAGTAATTAAAAATCAATCTGACTAAAAATATGTAATTTGAAGATATCAAAAACCCAAAGGACAAGATTAAAACCAAGTATAGCTACAAAACACTGAAGTCTGACTTTTATGCATGCTGAATTAAAGGACTGAACAAATGTTAGAAAATTATTAATTTTTTGTACTGTTCTCAAGCTCAGCAGGTGCTTCTAAAAATAAAGATACCAAGAAAGAAAGAGCTGAATGATAAGGCAGAAGCACAATGTTTCTGAGAAAGGAATGTGATCTTCACATTTATCAGATGTCCTGACTCTCTAAAGCATGAGTGGAGCATAACCCACCAGTGATAGCATTCCCCAAAATGTTGGCTACTGTGCATAAATACCATAAGAATAACCTTTCTATATAATAGAATGGAATTCATCCACCACTCACTGACTTCTGTAATTAACCATTGATTCTGATATAGATTATAATGTACACTGCTGGGTAAACAAGGAAATGCATTATGGAGAAATAGATCTTGGGTTCATCTTCCCTAAAAAAAGGATCTATTCCTACTACCTACACTGAAAGAGGTTCTGAGCTATGTTTCAGTAATGACAGTTAATGGTCTTCATCTGTAGGACAGCCAATACAGTCTTAACCTTCCTGCCTGATTAAAGACCACGGTAGTAAATAAGAATCTTTTTCTTGGACTATTGATAGAATTTGCGTTAACCTTTTTATTTTTAACTTCTTGTGAAACAGGAAGATGATACACAACCTACTAAAAAGGAGTCAGATTCAAGTAGGGGTATTGTACTCCTGCACAAGTAACTGTACCTATGTTACGGAACAGATAGATTCAAAAAGCGCTTTTTCAGGGTTTCAAACGTATGTTCAAAAGACAATATTGAGGAACGGTGTTCGAAGCATTTAGTGATTTAAACAGCGTAAAGTTCACAGGGGTTTCACAACATTATCTCCTGTATTACACAGTTTAGGCCATATTAGGTCACAAGGAAATCCTAATGAGCCCTAAAAATCGCTCATAAATTTTTTTTTTAAGATTTTTGGATATAATGCTACTAACCACTAAATTATAATCTCTGACTATTATTGTAAAAAAAGAAAAAGAAAAAAAAACCCCAAAGACATACTTTAACTCTATGACAGCCACATCCAGCAAGTCTATAGCATCTAGACAATCTGTTGCACTCTTGGTACAACCAGTACTCAACTAATAGGTTGGTTGGACATATTACATAATAGATATTAGCAAAGTGGAAAATACAACTACATTTTTTTCTTTTCTTTTAAACTCTTGTTTTAAATTGTCAAGCAGTCACTTCCACTAACACTTTTTTCCTGTGACACAAAACTTCACTGCAAAGCCATCAAGCAAATCAGGTATATTAATAAACCTGCCCTGGCTCCATCAAAAGTCAAGAAGCTAATCAACTAAGGTACTCAGAGGAGCTATGAAGCAAATTACATTAAAAGATCAAATTGTGCTGTATAGGTCTCAGAAATGAAGAATGGTCTAGAGTCTATGAAAAGAAAACTGAAATTAAAACCTCCTGTAAAAACAACAACTCCATAAAACAAATTCGGCTTTCAGTCACACACGGTACTTACTGAATAAGCTGTTTTTAAAGGCCAAAAAAAAACTCACTGTGAAATGAAATGGTTGAATCCTCTGCACCATTTTTCAGGATGTAGCAAAGTAGGAGGAGGATTTCTGAAAAAATAGAAAGTTTGGGGGGTTTAAATGTTAACATTTACTTGCAGATAGTCAACAAACGTGATATTGGTTCCACAGAGGAGAAAATAACGATGCAGAAAGCAATGTCCAAACAGTCTATGTCCTTCAGAGGCCTGTTGGGTTTTTCTTGCTGCTGTTAATTTTTAGCTGACAATTCTAGTCTTTTCATGTCCTCCTCCTTTTATTTCAGTGGCTTTGAAGTTGGCGGTCAGTATAGCACACACAGCATTTCCCAACATTTCCCTTTCGACTCAGCCTGACTTAGGAAGGATCAGCTGAGACTAGAAGACTAACCTAGTCATTATACTCCTTTAGCCCCTGACCCCGGACCATTGACTCTGACCGTGACTCTCGTTAAGTATGGATATCTTCATAAGAACTACCATGCTGTCAACAATCTGTGGGCTTTTCAGTCAGGATTTCAGTCTGTTTTCAGCCTGGATGACCTAGGGGATAAAGTTTCTACATCACAAACTGATAGCTATGTAAACTATTAAAATTAGATGTTATTTTAAAAGTGACATTTAACAAACAGTATTTTTTACATCACAAAATAAGAAGGTCTTCCATAAGGGTTGTCTTTTAAACTCTAAGAAGTTACATGTTAGCTGGCATATAATTACTTTCCATTCTGACTGTTGCACTTAAATCACAGGAACATGCAGAGCAAGGCATGTAGGTCATATTAAATGGGCCAAATTTAACTGGCTCAAATTGAAGTGGATCTATATATATAGCAAGAAATGTTGCTGAAATGCATATTGTGTTGTTATCTTCCAGTAGTTTCTTCTTCAACTTAAACTTTGATAAACATAGATTAACTTCTTAAGATTAAACATCTTTTTTTCTTTTTTGAAACCTTAATGCTTTGTATTTTGCTGCGTTTGAGGGCTTTATGAGAAGGATTACAGGTTACTGAACTGGCAAAAAAATTCACATATGACTTATTCTAGAACAGAAATCCTCACTAATAGTCTGCACTGTATCATGAATCACTCTCAGTTAAATCAGGGCCACATTCCACAGCAAGACACCGCTTAGAAACATCTCACAAAACAAAAAGGCAAACAGCATGAACGCAATGTAAATTATGCTGATCTGCTTAGTAGTCTTGAATTTTTCCATGCATATTCATTCAAAGAGTAGTCCCATTTAAACAATCATCACCCTTAAAAAAACAAAACAAAATAGTAAAAAAAAAAAAAAAAGTGTCTTTGTAATAGAGAGACCATTTTTGTTCATCTGTATCTACACAAAACAAACAGAGTCATCTAATTTCACCGTAGGTTGTCGTGTTTTCTGAAATAAATATGTTATTACTTTTCTCTTTTGTTACAGAATATTCAAGGAGTGCAATTCTCTTCATGAAGTGAAGAAATCTAGAATGTTTGAGATGTGCACCATTTGTCAAAGTTATCATTAGGAGAAAATACTATGGGTTATTTTCAGCAACAGTAATGTTTCAGTCCCGTCTTCCATTTACCAGGTTCGTGTCTTCATGCGCATCACAGAATCTGTGGCTGCACATAAGAACACAAAATATAGCAGAGTATTTCAAGAGATCCTCCAAGAAAAAGCTCTGTATCAAAGAAAGGTAAACTTTAAAAACTTCTTTCTCTATAATGAAAATGGTTATCAGTCTACACCCCTCATATTCATGAACTTTGCAAACAGCTTTGAGAGACTGCTGACTGGGGATAGTATCTTTATTTTGCAGGAATGGTACTCATCATCCCATCTGATAATCTGGGTCCTGATAATAGCAGCTTTTATTGTGCTGCCTCAAAGTACAGTGTATTTCTTTTCAGAATGATACCAGCGCTGTCTACCAAACACCTCCAGTGAATTTCTGAATTTCACTACAAACCAATTTGCTTTTTCCAAAGCTCAGTTGCTATTCATGAAATAAGTAGTTTTGTTTTTCCTATTTGCAACGTTCTCAAAATCCTTCCATGGTGGTAACAATGGTGCTTAAAAAAAACATACTGTTTGGAGGCACTATTAACATTAATCTCATAGAGAACTTACTGGAAAAAGAAATAAGGATAGATATCTATATTGCACACAGATGTTATGTTATGAAACAGGTGGGATTTCATCACAGAAGAACAGAAGAGCAGAGCAGATGTCATTCAGAAAATATATTTAGTCATTTGTGAGCTAATGACTGATGGAGTAAGGCATCTTTTTAATCACATGAAACATATTATTCCCAATAAATTACTAAACTACTAAGCTCTCACTGACTGCTACGGGTAATTCTTCCAGAGCTGTCTGAGTATGCTATGTACCAAATCACAAATTATGGACGCATGCGCACGCGCGTACACACACGAGCCAAGAAACTTGCAACTCTGTAGACGTTTTCTTGAGTTTGATACTTTCATATTTTTTGATGGAAGATGTTATCTTACTCCTAGTACCTTCTAATTTGTGTTAGTACGGTGTTTTTGAGGTAAAATCATAGACTTGGTAGTCCTTTGTACTTGACAAGTCACTAAATTGATGCTTCAAGAACCTCTTCTATAAAATCAGACTGATAAACCTGGCCAAACCTTTATTTCACTAGTACCTGTAAAGCAAACTGGGGTCCTTTGATGAAAGATGTTACCTACATACAAAGTATTATTATTCCATGTATATGGTTTTATTCTTTATTTTCCCTAGAAGATGAAACATTAACACTCGACCCACTGCACAGTATACATATCAGGATGATACGGAGTGAAATGATAATAAACAATTCCTAAGGTCTGATTGAAAAATCACAATATTGAGGAAGCATACAGTCAAGTTTGGGACCACACATTCTTCACATTCACTACTGCAAAAACTAGTAAATTCACCTGCTTTTGTAATGAAAGTCAGTTCTCTTGCTTCGAGTTAGCACTATGCGCTTCCATTTAGCTTGTACCAGGTGATTGCCTGGAAATAGTAATACCCTCACAGCCAACCACAAAGACAAGAGGTGCATATGCTCCCATTATTAGAACTATGGAAAACCCAACACCTGGAATCAGCTAAGAAGCATTCATGTAGTCAAAAATAAACATGACAAGATATTAAAGTCTAGTAAAGGCCAGACTATCTACTATAGTTCTCTGAGAGTCATTTTGAACAACAAAGAAAATCCAACGATAACTAATAAAAAACCACAGTCATTTCAGTTAAATCTTGTGGATGCAACTCTTCAATGCTTCTGGATCCTAAAACTTAATGATGAGTCCTTTCCACATGGAAATTATCACAGTAGAGTTGATTTTTGTTCTTCACTATTTTCCCCCCTAGCAATTAGCATCTCAACTCTAGGCATCCTTACCTCATGCCCTGTGGTTCTTCCTGTAAGTCAGCATGTCAGGCCTTTTGGTATTCCTCAGTGCCACAGTACTAAGCTGCTTTGTTTCTCTCTAATCTAGCTTCTTTCAGGACATCTTTACTCTGCAATCTTAAGTACGACTACAACTTCTACCTGGCTCAAAAAGAAGTGAGTGAGTTTAGGGTAGCGCAGGGAGCAAGGTGAAAACTAAAACTAACCACCACCTTAGGCAAACATGGTGCATACAGCTCTGTAACTTGTTGCACTACAAGGGACACATCTTGCTCAATGGATTAGGTAACTTGGAGAAGGGCTGTGGTGCAGAAAACCTAAGACGCCTGCACTTCATGTCTTAGATCTGCTGCTTTTGTTTGCAAGTTAGGATGTAATTAGACGCATGCGTTAAGTGGGAGTCAGAGGATGCCAAGCACATAGGGTAGAGAGTATCTGATGCCTTGACACTGAGATAAACACGTGCACTTCACCTCTGATCCACAGAAGAGGTGAAGAAGTCAGTCACAGAAGTAAATCACTGCTACTGTCACCACACTTTCAACATCAGTTGCAGAGCAGCAACTACCATATTCTTTCCCAATAAATTCTACGCCCTATGCTTCTGAGATTAAGAGTGCCAGGTTGTCTGGAAGCTTATTATAATCTCTCCAAGGGTAAATCTTGGATAACCTTTTTAGGCTAACCTCTTTGACACTGTACTGAAATAAAATAGAATAGGACGGGTAATCATATAGCCAGACATCTGTCTCAGCTCAGCAGCAGCCACTAACACCGGCTGTTCACTTTTAGTTGCCTGAACATCTGTATAGCTCACATTCTGCACTCAGATAGGAGGTAGCCCGTAACAGGCTCACCCTTCTCTTCCATCTTGTCCTTAAAAAGTTTCCAGACAGGGGCATAGGAGGGTCAGTTAAGCTTCCTACCTGCTCTCTGCCTAAGACACTACAAATTGTGTTTCATGGTAATGGCAAAAAATATTATTGCTTCCATGGCACTTTCACAGGCCAACTCCTGCATTATGACTTAAATTCAAGTTTTAGGCCTACAAACGTAGGCAAGTATGCAAGTGTAACTCAGTATTTCAGAATTTAAACTATTTTTTGTCTGTCTGCTGCAGTTTGAAACTAAAAATCTATTACAACATCTGTGATTCATAACACCTACTAAATGAAGAGAAAAGGTAAAACGAGTTACATATATTAGCAGATGCTAAACCACAGAGGAACACAACACTCGCTTCCCCCTCTTGGCTCAAAGTTCTAACTAGGGCCATTTGTGACTCCAGAGTATATTACATCCCACACAGGGAGTTCTATCGCTTTTGTATCCTTGCACCAGCTGACATCAATGAACCTCTCTAGCAGCTTCTGCAGTACTTAAAACACATTCACAGAAAAACTCAAAAGCTACCTCTTATTAGCTTGCTGACATAACTTACGCTCCTGTTACCTCTTGAAAAATTAGAAAGCTCTACGTGTTAACTTTCAATCATCTTTGCCATGTATATGAGAAGCTGAAGGACAAAGTACTCTTATTTTCTAGTATAAGTGATGGAAACTGAAAGAAGCAGATACGAAAATTATTGCAAAAGCAGGTTTAACCGGGCTTGTCTTTTGAAAATGTCCTCCTTTGATGCAAGATGAGT